AAATGAAAAAATAAGAACCATAGCATTTTAATTAAATGGAGGTGGCTATAGTTGTTGTAATCATGCGTCTTGTGACTTTGTATGACCAAGCCACCAAACGATTGATGAGTGAACATTTGGTCATCATGGGCATCCGAGGGCTATCCTAAACAATCCCTGTCTAACCTTTTTTCTAGCCGAATGACATCGTCCATGACACAGAAGTTTGGATGGCGTCAAATGATTGAAAAATCAGAAAATAACAAACAATTGATCTCGGATGATGTATTTTTCCTGATAATTCGATCTGGTTGTCGTTTGAACTATGAAACCACAGTGGAGTACACATTGAAATTCTTCCACGGTGTGACATTCCCCCTGAAATAATAGAGGAATTGAAAAACATGGCCTGTCAATTAGTGCTTGTGTTATTTAATAACAGCCATGATACAGCACACTATCGTGAGGCAACGCTCCATCGGATGTGGAGTTATGAACACACACGACACACACGACACACACGCCACCACACCAGCGCACACAGCACACACAACCACGGCCACACACACACACACACACACACACACACACCACACACACACACACAAGGCCACACACACACACCAACACACACCAAACACACACACCACACAATTAATATAAAAAACACGACAGGACTATTTACTAATATAAATGAACAGCATAAATAACACAACACCATTATTTTGTCCTTCTTTGCGAATTGGATGATCGAAAATAAGATAACACTGTCGCTTTGTCGGACTCCCAGGCAATATAGGACTCTATATGACCGCATACGGTGATTTGGTTATACATACCATTGCAATTTAAACCAGAGAACTCGCGAGCCACTCACAACGTGCAACAGCAACATCCTGGCCAGCGACTGACACCCAGACGACTCAATGACAATTGTGCACTTGCTCCATTAACACCCGAGAGCACGCCTTCTTATAACTATACGACAAGAAATAAGGCGAAAGGAGAACGATAAAGTGCGCATGGGGCTTCTTCCCACTTTCTGCCTTAAATATTTAATTCATTATAACCATTATTGGGCATTAGGGAACACTCCTGACATCCGAATCAAGCAACCCTGCGACGGTCTAAATAACCAAAACTTCCTAAACAAGGAAAAGATAAGTAAGAAAGAATGAACGGATAAAGAATGAATATGTGACCTTCTTGGCAAGTGACTTGACAAACAACCCCACACGCCCCCCCCCCCAACGGTGCACCTTAGCAACAAGGTGAACAGCTGGGATCATTTGGATGCAAGCACACTGTGAACTGTTCAATTGTTTGTGATTCTGTGTTGTTAGACTTACTGACAGTGTGTTAAGCACTTTAGAGAGCATGATTGTATGGAAGGTGCTATGCAGAGATATAATGTGAACCAATGGTTTATGCTGATGTTAAGCAAGTGTGACGACCCCTCCACACCACGTGGGGGGCCGTCTGTTTGTGTGTGTGGTTTGTGGGTGTTTACAGGTTCCGGTGCTGATGAGCCGCACCTGCCGGGTGAGCTACGCTGCCAAAAGGATATAGGAGGAGCAAGCCGGATACGTCGCTCTCACTCCTCTGGGCACTCTCTCTGCGCCTCTGCTGGTTTCCGTTCAGTTGATTGTGATTAAGAATAAAACTGTTATATTCTTACCTCTCGTCTCACCTCCCTGCTTTATGTTACAGCCCAGGAGCCGGATTGTAACACAAGCTAGCTGCAGTTAGTTGTGACAATGACTATTTTCTGCAATTTCCTTGGGGTCTGGCTCCGGAACAGACTTTTCAAGCAGGAAGATGGGCATAGTTTACAGGAGTGACCACAAAAACCGAAGACAATATGAGTAAGATGAACAGGATGGAACAAAACGTGTAGTGTGTTGTTTACAAGTCTTACCTCTGGGAGAAAATGTCCCTGTAGGGGCTGCCGTGCTGCATGGCGATTCCATATCCACGGTCCGGTGCATTGCTACTAACAGCGTAGAAGGAGCAGTCCTCGTCATTATTAGCAACATATTCCAGCACTGCCGCATCCCACACGAAGCCAAATCGACCATACTTCACCTGGAAGAAAGAAAATGCATTTACATACAGTGGGCAAATATTCAGAAAGGTGAATATCCAAAAACATGCAGTTGATTTATTGTTTAATTCACCAAACATACAGTAAGTGGAGGCATATGCTACTGTACCACTGATCGACCAATATATTTGTTAAAACAGTGTGACACGCTGACTTTCACTTGCAGCAACATTTTATACGCATCTATTCTTTGTGCATATCTTTCGTTTTTCTTCGCTAAATCTCTACTTACAGAGCATGTTTCTGTACCAACTGTGGTCTATACTGTATACATTTAGCCAGTTATATAAACAGTATTTTAAGGACTTTAAATCAGTCTCTAGTTGAAGCCTCACCACACAGGTTGAGAATAGGTTTTTAATAACGGTTTGGTATTGTTCCTTAGACCTTGTCCGCTGTGTGTTCTTTGTTTATGGGATGAAATATGTACATTCATCATAGGCAATAAAGGGTGGCTTTCTAACTCACCATTACACACTGGCGTAAAGAAATGCAACAATATTACTTGATTCATCTACTGCAGGACTTCACAGCAACCATATTGTTAAAAGCAAAAAAAGCAATAATGGTTTGTTGGGTTATCTTTATTACTTTGTGGGTATACGATATATTTATGTCCTTGTTTAATATGTTTGGGCAAACTGTAGGTGTGTTTACAATTTGAGCTTGCAGCCTTTATTGAGATCAAGTCAAAGTGACCCAAGGTGGGAAGTTTTTAATAGAAAATAAGGTGCTTGTTAACATGGTTTCTTGTTAACATTCAATGAACGTTAGTTTTAAAACCAGAATGAAAAGTCGAGAATGATCAACCTGGATGTGATATTCACATCCTCTCTGCCAATTCACTCAAACGCGTACGCACACCATGTGGAAATGTGTGTGTCATTAACTTTAATGGAGCTATATTTAAATGTTCAATACCCCCTGCCTTCCCAGATTGTGCTTTTGTGTATGTGAATGTGTGTGTGTGTGTGTGTGTGTGTGTGTGTGTGTGTGTGTGTGTGTGTGTGTGTGTGTGTGTGTGTATATGTGTGTGTCACTACAGTTGGCCTATGAGTGATGGCTAATGTATGAGAACCGCCAAGGCTCAATGGGTAATTTCACAGTTTTTAGTCCTATGCGGTTTGTGTTCATGTGTGTCTAAGTGTGTGAGTGATAATTCACAGCAGGAAATCAGAATGGCTCATTCTGCTCTTGAAAACCTTAAGAGCACTTTATTACTTTAAAGAAAAATGTTAAGGCATTCCAATTTTAAGCTTTTGAATTGGTAAGATTATGGGCTTTGTGTGAAAAAGAAAAAAAGATTGGAATAGCTTACAATTGCATATAAGTCTTTCTCGCCATTTGGGTAAAAAATCAAAACACTGAAAGATAATTATTATGCACAGAATGTATGCAGTGACCTCTAATGTCAGCCAAACTGAAAACAGAACAAAGCTCTGGTAATCCAACAAGCATGTACAGTCTTACCCGTCCGTCTCAGAGGGGATACTAGTTTTAGCTTTATATCAGGGTATGCCTTTAATGAAAAGAACACGACAGGCAAAAAAAGCTTTTATTGCTTTAAAAGCGGATTATGCATAATATGTCTTCCAGAAGCAAAGACATAGTGGAATTCATGTTTTCCAAAGACTCTTGAGCCTTTTTAGAGAATGCTGAATGGAAAGAAAATAAATCAGACTTTGATACATACAGTACTCCTTATTGAAAAAAAAGAGATGACGATAAAGTGATATAGAGTGATGAAACTGAGTGAGAGTAGAGAGAGTACTGCACATTAGAGAGTAAATATGGGGGAGGAAGGGTTTAAACGCCTGAGGCTACAATTTTGTATCCTGCATTGTGTGCTTCCTATAATAAGTCTCTTTTGGTTTCACTGAGTTCCTTTTTAAGATGGCTGCCATGTAGGTGATCTAAACTTCAAATTGTGGGGTTGGGATTAATGTTATATAATTAACTTTTTCAGCCGGGGGATTTGGATTTAATTTGGGTTCGTTTTAAATGAAAATTGTTTAAGATCTACCATAATTGACATCACATAACTTAATAATCGCAGTGTTTCTCAAATATTAAATCCAAACCTTTTATCAAGTCGCTTTGGATAAAAGCATCAGCTAAATTAAATGTAATAAAAGTAATAATAATTCAATTAGAATCAATTAAATAAATAATCAAAGCAACATAGCACATAAGCAAATAAAGAAGATACATGATCCCTACAATGGAGCCTGTGAAAAGACATGGTCTTGCCTGCAGCTGTATTTCATTAATGGAGAAAATGTACCTGGGAATAGGGAGGACTTGATTTGATGTAGCAGAACAAGCATTCTATATGCAATCTGTTTAACATTGTCTAAATTAAACATTTGATTAATTAATAATGAATTGATTGCTTAATAAAGTGACGTGTTAAAGGTCAGCTTTGCCCCTGCTGTTGAGTTAACTCTGATTATAATTGTAATTTTTTTTAAAACAGCTCACATGAAAAAGACCTTTCTTACAGCTAAGAGCTTCAAATCCGAAAAAACAAGGTCAAGGTAAAACTGTTTACTATTCTTTTTATCTGCACACGTCTCAGAGTATGTTAAATATATTTAGTTAGTTTTGCCTTTCTCTTTGTTCATTGTTCTCCTTTCCCAATGCATTAGAAATGCTACTGCACTCAAGTGTCTGGCACTTACAGCTCATATCCCTGAGGTCTGCAGCCTGCCTTAGTCCACACAATGAAAAGAAAACAGCAAGAGGGCAGAAACTTAAACTCAACCTCCTATTTGTTGCTATAGGAAATGTAAGGTCATTGACAAACAAGATGGATGAGCTCTCCTGTTTGTAAAGGACTCAGTGGGATTATCTAGACAAGGCAGCTTTATATGCTTTGCAAGCTTCATTTGCATGCACAGTGTAACCTGGCAGTGGGGCTCCAATTAAGGTGCCATCCAGGCTACAAGGTTTACATGCACCTTTGACACCCTGCGACTGAGTTTCTGCTGTCACTTAAACTAATATTCCAGAGAATAAAACATATCCTTAAACTAGAAATAAAATAAGAAAAAGAAGAACTAAAAACATGTAACAACACTGGGTAGGGTCTATTAAATACAAAGGAACAATTCATGATCCCAAAAGTAATAACAAATTATTCTCTCTTTTACGCTTTTGTTGCTGAAATACATTTTTCTTATACTGGAGTTATGGAGGCTGGACCTCATTTGGATAGCAGCTGTTCAAAATCACAGGTCAACAAACAAACAGAGATTACAATAAGAGTTCAAATCAAATAGGGGTGTAGACGATAGAGTAGCATTAAAGGCCAGATGTAGAATTGAAGTTCATAGAAGTAGCTTGGCTTGTCAATAATACATCCATGGTCCGTGTGAGTTTATAGTAATTACAATGTACAGAAATAATAGAAACACTTCGTCCTATCCTTACTGCCACTAGGAGGCGAGTAGAGCGACGGCATGAACTAAACAAAGAACACAACTAATGACTTCTGGATATACGTTTCCTTAAACTCAACACACAAAACAACATACTTGAGAACCTTGGTCTCAGAAGTATTTTTAACTTCCTGCACAATAGCTATATTTTGCATCTGTTGCTGTGATCAAACAGAAAAATGTTAGCTACTTCTCAGTGGAGTAGTTTGTCCAACTATAGAAGGGAACAGCTTATCTCTGATTGAAATGTTGTGCTAAGCGCTCAAACAAATCAACACATCCAAAAATACTTTTTATGAATACAGTTCACCAGGGGGCTATGTTCATAAGGTGTTTTAATAGCTTAAGGGGACACATGGGTTTTTGCACTTCTTTTATTCTTAGCATCTAGAGAAATGTTAGCTCTATTATTTTCAGTTGCATTTGAGAATTGCTAGCAAATATTTTAGTAGTGCAGAGAATAACTGGTTGTATTTGTGAGCCTCTTTTCAAGTGAACTCTACATGAAATGTGTTCAGTCAGAGGTTTTGAACCTGTCAGAAAATGTCTGCGCAGTGAGATTAGGTTATCATGCCCATGCAGCATTTATATTCAAGCACCGCCTCAACACTAAAAGCTGCATCCTAAATATGTCCGTCATATACCACACACACACACACACACACACACACACACACACACACACACACACACACACACACACACACACACACACACACACACACACACACACACACACACACACGAATCGTAATCATTGCATTGGACCTTGTTTTCCCTCTCATAAAGGTGACTCAAGAAACCCAGTAAGATTCATAATCACAAAATTAAAGCATTTTCAGCGTCGCTCTTCTTTCATTAATGCCAGTTTTTTTATTTCCATCAGGTCGTTATATGGGAGGAGAGAAAACAAACGAATCTGCTGTTGTCAATGTTTATGTTCTTGTTTATCAGTTTTAAAAGGGTTTTGTGATGGTGGAGCTCATTTAATGAATATATAACAACACTGAACCATTAGCCTGAGCTGTTTTTGCTGCAGCTCTGATTTAGTTTTTTTCAGGCAAGGGGCGGGAAACTGTAAATAGGGAATACTTGAAAACAGTCATTTTTCAACATTTTCAGCAATAATTAATAATTAATTAATAATAGTTTTAAATAATATAAATCTATTAATATAATTCAAATCGATCTAATATATCAGAGGCAAGGTTATGACTTAATTACATTATTTGAATTACATTCAGTGTAACAGTCAATGTAGATTTGATTGATTATAAAATGTAGGGCAGCTGAAGTTTAGAATAAAATCCTGTTATAAAGTTAAACAAATATATTATTCTCTTCTACTTAACCAATTTCTCTCAGTTCTCTAACCTTAATCACATTAGTATTTAAATAGTATTCCCTAAAATCCTCAAAAAAAATACACGAATAAACACTTTGGATCAAAAGTAAAAAAACATTTTCAAAATGAGGTCAGTCTACATCCTTTTCCTCAGCAGATGAAACTACATTTATGAATAAATAAAAGGTGAAGGGTGAACTTTGGAACTGCTTCCCTGAAAGAAAACTACCTACAGTATATATGACGTGCTCCTGGAGCTGAGCTCATACACACACTGACTTATACAACTCTCTCTGGATGTTATTTTCCAAT